TGTTTTCCTTGCAAGTCCGTTTGCAAGATATCTTTTTCAAATAAATTTATATACATTTATTATATAGACACGATGTGTTTTACTGGAATATATACCACTCGTAAAATTCATAAAAACTACATCCGGGATCCGGGACAGGAACAAGTCGTTCAGACGGAGCAGTAAAAGACTCCTACCCAGTCGCTACTGATGTGTTTTTGGGGTGAGAGAAGATTGGGGTTAGGTTGATGCGCGTGGGCCATAAATAAATAGCGACTGGGTACGTGTCTGGAGTAGTTGGCAGAGAGGGTTTGGCGACTAGATACCAGTCCTCACTTCCGCTTATATTTACTTCCATCTTTCTGGGTTCCAGTCCTCCCTCCTACTCTTTTATTTTCGCCACGGTTCGAATATCCGTTACCCGTTCACACTGCGACGAAGAGTTGCACAGAAACCTATCCGATATGAGACGATCCACTTTCTAGATCGGTGCTGCTTCAATTGAAAGTGGCAAGATTGCTTGGATTAACGATGAAATTCTGGTTTTGATAACTATGAACAAAAGTTTCCTTTGCTGTTTCAAAGGTACATCCCTGACTGGGTAAAATTGGTTTGAACACGTTTTTGTTTTACTGAGTCATTTGGCTGCCAAGAGACCCGTTGCACGGTTTTGGGTCACTACCATGGTACTCTTTGAAAATATAATGGAATGAGTTTTGGTGCCTTTATGCTTCTTATGACGTTGTATGGCGAAACAAGGTCAAAAGGTTTTCATCAAACTTCTGCTCGAAAGTTGGGTTTTCTTGCTTGAAAACCGATTTACCTAGCGTGATACTTTGTGAAAGAATCAGTTGCCTTAAAATATGTGGAAAACGTCCTAGAATCGAAAATGTTCAGCACCTTTAAGGGGGGAGTGGTTTGTTAATTGTCCAATTCAAGGAGAAGTTGTTTTAAAATGGTTTAAGACATTGAAGAGATCAAAAATCACAGTAAACATCTCGTTTTCTTCAGGTTTAACACATTACTTATCTGAAGGTTACATCAGAAACTAAACATTATATCGTGCTACGTGTTGGGATCAAGTAGAAGCAGTTCAACAAGCCGACCTATAAGTCACCCCATGTAAGAGAATCCACGATAGTCTGGGATTCTGGATTCCAGGTCACGGATTCCGGATTACAGGTATTCGATTCCAGTCTTTGTCAGTGGAACTTTGATTCTCAATTCCAATTGCTAGTGGCATTCTGGATTCTTTGAGCTGTACTCCGGACTCCAAAGCCCAGGATTCCGGATTCCACATGCAAATTTTTTCCCAGATTCCGGATTCCGTTACATGGGGCGGTATAAGAGATGAACCATTAGGAAAGTAACGGGTTGTGTTGAATTTTTGGGAGGTCTATGAAAGTTTTCTCTCTACTCCTGAGGTGAAAATCTATTTTTCCTCCTCGAACAACTTTTTTAAACATGGTGCGTGTGGAGACTTTTTAATTACTAATGCGTTTGCCTTCCCCCAACCTCCTATCCTTTTTCCTAATGGTGACATCCCTAAATTAAAGCAGCTCCTTTAAATAATATAACTGAGGGATGGCTAAAAGTCAATGGCCTCGAGAAAAGCAACCTAGAGGCAGTAAAATAGGTCAGATTCTCGATAGAATGATGATAGCTTTAACGATTGCTGTAATTTCCAAACGCCAAACCTCAGAACGTTGCTGTGTACGTGTTCTGATCTAGAACTGATCTACTTGATAAAAAGCCCAACTTTTACAACCTAGCACAATTACAACAAAACATCATTAAGTTATTGTAGCGTCCAAATTCTTAATCTAATATCTTCCACTGTTTGGATATTTTAAAGTCGACATCAATTAAAGCAGTTGGACCACTAACGCAATAATACACGAAAACGTTTTCTATGATTGAAATGACTCGCAGTAATTAAGAAACAAGATTAAGAGTTAAACCTGGTTTAATAGCAGAACAAATAGTCTACGAGTGCAGAGACAGAGGCGGACTCAGCTCTACAAGGAAGTGGTGGTGGAAAAATAGAGAAGGAAAATAAATCTTGTTTTCGGATGAAAATTAGATTTCGGGCCCTTTTTCCTTTGTTTGCAGGCATGGAAGGACTATCTGGCAACGCTTTTCCTAAAAAAGGGTTATTAAAATAAGGCAAAAAGTCACTCTAATGATTCTCAGACGGTCCAATTCGCCAGTGGTCACTCGCTTCTGTCTCCGCGCAGGCTATTCAGTGTATCGTCCAAAACTTACTGTTAAAACTACGAGCATATTCATTCTCAAACGTGGAAGGCAAAATGTTTACTATTGTATGAAACGCTAATAATTTATCCATATAAGTTAAACTCGTCTCTGAAACCCCATTTTACTTAAATTTAAAAACAGTTTTAATTAAGTGACACAATGTGTGTCCCAATATATAACATAAGTACAAAATGAAGACTGGAGACTGCTCTCAGTGAGTGCAAAACATTGTTTTCACCATGCAAATGGAACGTGACAACAATAGTCCCATTGACAAATGCATATGAAATAAATCATATATGAGAACTGCGGGAATAAAATCAAATGAAGAATGATACTCGCAGTTGTGAACGGAATTTATGCAATTACGTAAGAAGCCTGAAAAAAGAAATCAAGACTTCAACGGGATTTGAACCCGTGACTTTGCGATACCGGTGCGCCGCTTTAACCAACTAAGCTATGAAGCCACTGTTAGTCCCATTGTTTTCTAACCCTGAAAACAATGGTCTGCATTCAGTCTGCAGTCTGCATTTTTTACTGTCCACCAATTTATACTTTAAGGATCAACAAGACATGAGCATATTAATATTTTTTAAAAAATATATAACTAGTTCAGCTGGGAAACCGGGGATCAATCATACAAAACGTAATACACCCTTTTAACCCAGACCTTAATTCACTGAATTGTGACCCGCGGTTCAGAATCACGGTTCAGAATGCACAAAATACTTACAGTGCACACTTAAAATTTTTAAAATTATCTGATTAAAATGTGAATCACCCCACTGAAACCACGGCCACGCTTGTATATAGTTCATTGGTTCGTCTCCGTCCCGTTATGAGACTTGGGATTCTTAACCCTCGGACGTACAACCCCCCCCCCCGACGTTTTATTATTATTATTATTATTATTATTATTATTAGGCGATAAAACATCAGCAGCTGACGTTTTCAGAAGCCGTTTGTTTATCCCTCGCGCGCATTTTGCGACAAGTTTAGAGATGGTCAGTTACTATGGTTACGACATATGACGTCTTAAGTAGCAGGTGGTCAAGCCATTTTTGAGTGAAAATGCATGTTCTTACAACTTTTTTCGACAATAGAAGTAAAAGCTCTCAATGAAATGATGCAAAGGGCTTATTTAAATGTTATTTTACATGTGAAGCACAAAAAATTATCATTTATCGCGATTTTAACCTGATTTCTAATTCTTGGTGAAATCCAAGATGGCCACCATTGTTGGTGACGTCACAGGCCTCCAGCAGCGCCACCACCTCATCTTGTTGAGTAGATCAAAGGCTTTCCACTGAAGGCAAAATCGTTTCGAAGTACTGCAAGTTATCATGATCAAGAACTCTGAGGAGGGGTTCCATCCACCCCTCCCCCTTTTACCACGCTAGGGTATGAATTTGCGTGTACGTCCGAGGGTTAGCCCTGTTAAATTAATTTGAATTATTTGTTTCAGTCATTTGCTTTAAAGCCGAGGGGAAAAAACTGAAAAGAAATTATTAAGATTATGATGATGATGATGATTATTATCATCAATATTACAATTATTACAATGCAATTTTCCTTTGCCAAATTACAATTTGCCGATTAAGGTAGGTTACACGTCGAGAAAAGGGGCAATCATCTGTACTACTATTCAGTCATTTTCGCGGGAGTAACGAAATACTTGTAAACAACGTTAAGTTCTTTCCCCACGAAAATTGTTTGTCTTTTTCCCAAGTTAAAATTGATAAGTGTAGCCGTGGCTAATATAGAGCTTCACAGTATACAGTATGCCCTTTGATTTACAACGTTTTTTGATGTTATTAATTAGAGAGATTTAGAGTTTCCTTTATACCGCAAACCGTGGATTTGTACCACGTGACAAAGTGTTCCCTTTGCTTCTCGAGCTTTCTCGTTTGCTGTTAAATAAATCTACAAAAAATTGTTAGTTTCAAGTTAGTTTTATCCATAAGAACTGCTTTGAGTTGTTTTCATTTTATCTTCATATTTTCTATTTTGAGAAATTCTCAACTTGAATCAGTAGACGTTTGCCATTTGCCGTTAGCGTGACTATAAATCTCTCTATTTAATATCTTCTGACAAAAAATGACTAAAATGAAAACACGCTTTTTTACCAAACGCCCCATTGAGGACAGCTATTAAATAACGCACTTCTTTCTTTAGGGAAATCCAGGTATATACACTCTACTTCAGCAGTTGTGTTGACATCAAACTTTCAGCGCATCCCTGTAAAGAAAGTAACAATTGATACATTAATTTATCTTTCATTTCAAAACAAAATAAAGGTCAAAGCGTTAAATTTTAGGATGCCATGGATGATGATATGAAAAATAACAAAATGAAGAACATTTAACATCTTAGACATATTTGTTCGTTTTGAAGCTATGAATTTCTCTACATATAGTGCTAGTCCTGTAGAAAAACGGAGGAAACTTATTGCCTATGTATATCTTTTATCCACACCTGACCTAAAGTATTTAACAATTGAGAACATTAAGCAATGCCCAGTGTTCAATTGATTTTTGAAATGTGTTGGTAGCCCGTTAGGAATAGCATTTACTTGAGAGAATCCATAATAATTTAACACTTACCACCCAACCCATCCTTACTTTATACATATTTTTATTCTTTTTATTATCAATTGCAAGTCTGTCATTTTCCTCTTATCTGAATTTGACAAGAATGGTTCTAGCTTTTCTTCTTAAGCCTTTTGTTACTAGAACAGCAAGAAAAAAAAAAGACTTACGACTTGCTCAATGACTCTTTTTCCCGCCCAATTCCATCTTAACGTCATCGCCCATCAGAACAAAAGGAGCCCAGTACTTTGGAGCAGAATAAACCTGGGAGTCTCGAAGACATTTCATGGCCCTCTGAAGAGCAACACTTGCACTTTCTCCACTTGTAAGTTGTTGGTAGAAAGATTTCATAAACATCATTGTGGCTTCGTCATCAATTGCCCAGAGTGTCGCGAGCACGGAACGAGCACCAGCAAACAAAAAAGCACGTGCCATACCGACCACACCCTCAGACGAGACCGGTCCTTGACCACTGTGGCAGCAACTAAGCACAACTAGCCTTGCTCTCAGCTTCACAGCTTGTATGTCAGACATTTTCATAATGCAGTCCTCCTCCTTAGGACGCTTGGATTCCCATCGGGGGTCTGGGACCAAAACAATTTCTCCAGTTTCCTTTCTTCCGTGGGCTGCGATGTGAATCAAAGCAACTGACCCGATTCCCTGAAGAACCGCTTCTTTGGTTGCGTCTTCACCTGTTAATGGTGTACTCTTTAGAATTTCTCCAATCATCTCCACTTCCTTTCTTGCGTACTTCAGCGGATCATAAATAGGCTCCCCCCGTTTATTTGTAACTTTCTCCAAACATGGATCCCCGACAAGCAGGGCTCCACTTTTAACGTGGCGTCCAGATGGAGAATCTGTGATGACTTTCAAACTTGTTAGTGAGGGAACAGTGCGGATCCTTAAAGTTTCACTCAGGGCTGCCCAAGGAGCTTTACACAAAGCGCCATCAGGAACTACAATTAGTTCATCACCATCAAGCAAGTTTTCAATGTGACCAATAAGTACATTATATAATAGCTGCAAACAGTCGGTGGTCTCCTGTGATGCCTCCGATGCTTGATGTTCGTCTCGAGTAGTTGAAGTTGTTGTACTCAGCTTATCCATTGACCGATTTTCGCACCTGATACCTCTGCCAGCCCCAATGGTTTTCAAAACAGTTTCTAAAAGGAGAGAAAAGGAATCTTCGTGCTCTTTTCCAGTTGCTTGTAACTTAAATCGCCTAAAGATAGGGTTGCCTTCTTTTCGCAATACCCACATGCTGAGTAGGTTCTCTTCCAGGGCAAAAAAAACTGTTAACACAGTTGTCTTCTTTGAAATATTTATGGCTTCTTCTTCAGATTCAATTGACCTGGGCGAAAGTGATGTGAGGCCATAAGTTACTTTTAAGGCATCGAGCAAAGCCTGTGCTCGTCCCCTCTCAGCAGCGTATAAAGCTTCATCATTCCTTTGAAGCATTACTAAAAGCTGCCATAAATCAGTATAGGCATGTTTATGTTTCGTGCGAAAACTTATTTTCAATTGATCTTCCGAGATAGAATTGGCTCTAATAGTGTCATAGATTTTAACAGAGCATTTAAAATGTTTTAAAGCCTCATTCAAAGAATGTGATTGCAAAGAGTGACCCAGACCTGTATGTGCACATGCTTCTGCCATCCTGTCACCGATTTCCTCGGCAATGCTCAAGTGTTTCTCGTAACACTCTATTTCTTCCTTCAAGTCGTCGAGTTTTCTATAACAACTTCCGAGGCGGCAATAGGCATGTCCTTGTCCATCCCTGTCACCGATGTCCTCGGCATTGCTCAGGCATTGCTTGTAGTACTTCATTGCTCGTGGCACGTCGCCGAGGGATTTATGAACGTCGCCGATTTGTAAATATGCACGTCCTTTCTCTTTTCTGTCACCGACTTCCTCGGCAATGCTCAAGTGTTTCTTCTGGCATTCCATTGCTCTTTGGAATTCTTCAAGGTGGAGATAAAGAGCGCCGAGATTGGAATAGGCAATGCCTTGCCCTGCCTTGTCACCTACTTCCTTGGCAATGGTGAGGTATTTATTATTGTACTCTATTGCTCGTTGGTATTCGCCGAGAAGTGAATAAATATTGCTTAGATTGCTATAGCGACTCCCTTGCTTTTCCCTGTCACCAACTTCCTCGGCAATGGTGAGGCTTTTATTGATGTACTCTATTGCTCGTTGGTATTCGCCGAGTCTTCCATAAATACAGCCGAGATGGCCATAACCTTTCAATTGCCCTGTCCTGTCACCAACGTCCTTGGCAATGATGAGGCCTTTATTGGTGTACTCTATTGCTCGTTGGTTTTGGTTGAGAAGAATATCATCATAGCCGAGTTGCAAATAGGCTTTGCCTTCACATTCCCTGTTACCAACTTCCTTGGCAATCCTGAGCCCTTGATTGTGGTACTCTATTGCTCTTTGGTAGTCACCGAGGGATTGGTAAGCACAGCCGAGTATGCCATAGGCACATCCGACACATCGGACTTGTGGGACTTCTTCAGCAATGCTCAGGTATTGCTTGAGGTACTCTATTGCTTGATGGAAGTCACCGAGGGAGTAATAAGCTGTGCCTAGATTGTAGTAGGCATCTGCTTTCTCTGCCGTGTTTTTCTTGATTTGCGCTATTGCAAGACGCTTTTTTTGTTCAGCTATATCTTGTAGTATTCTTTCTGCCATTTCGAAGTTTTAGTCTTCAAAGTGGAACTGTTTCTTGGGCGTAATGCTTCTTTAAAGGAGCGTGGAGGTAGAGAAAAAACGAAAATAATTCTCATTAATACATTTGAAGTCTTAGAACATGTTCCCATTAGACTGATAAGGTAGCTAGAACTTTCCACTCCTTCCACCCTAGATTTACTC